CATTAACTGCACAAGACCTGAACAGCCAAGAAAAACAGTGTGCATGGGGAGGAGCTCCTGAGGCTCCACACCTAGCTGAAGAGCTACTGTAATTTAATGGCTACTGGGCAAAGTAGAATCATTTTTCTTCATGGATGTAACCTCTGATAGGTTGCCCAGGCTCATACAAACTGCATTAATTAGACTCAGTGGCTTATAAAAGAAAATAGAGAAGGGGACATAAATAGGTAGGGGGCACTTGTTGGAGTAATGGGGGGGTTAGAAAGGGTGGGTTGTGGGATAGATATGACCAAGATTGGCATTGCATATTTGTAAAAAATGTTAGCATCATTAACAGTAGGCATGTTTGAAAAGCCATAAGATTATATTATTTGAAATTTACCTAAATTACATATAAGCATATGTGCATAAATACATAAATAGTTTCCATTAAGCTATGATGCTTGAACTGGCAGTTAAATTACAGTGTGATGTCAAAGGTGAGAAAGAACAGGAAAACAAGGGAAGGACTTCGGTGTTTGCAGGTGGGACCTATGGTTTTAATAAGGTGGCTGGAAGGGCTTGCTGAGGAATATGGAGAAGCTGTCTGAAGAACTGACATCATTCCAGGCAAGGTATATTATAACCTAAAACATGTAGGGTTGACAGATGCTAGCCAAGAGAGAGTGAGGTTCTTGGTTTTGAACAGAGAAGAACTATTCTGACTTAGTGCAAAGAACCTCCCAAGCAGACAGCTGCTCTCTGAGGCCCCATCCACATTCAAGTTAAGGTAACATCTTAACATCTTCCCTATGGGAGGTGTTAATATATACTTCTTGGAGGTAGAACTGTTGGTATGAAATAGAAACACTTCAGAAGAGGATGTCTCTTTAAATTACCTCCTTCCTAAAGCCAGGATTACTTGATAAATGCATTTTAATTGAACAATTTTAATATAATGCATTTTTGTCTTCAATATACAATAATAAAACAAGCCACATGCAACTGCTAATTTCCTTTGTTATGCCACAAAAAATCACAGGCTTTTATTATAATTACAATGAACAGAAGAAACCTTTGTCTAATTTTACTTGAAGAAAGATGGATATAATTTGGATTCACTGCTCCCAAATGCACTTGCTTTCTTCCTCTCCCTAAACATTTACCAGCTCACAGGAATAAGAGGGAATGTCCCTTAAGATGTCTTTGTGAATCAGGTCTGTGCCTGCTCTGGCTGGCAATCCATTTGTCTTCTCCTGCCCTTCCCTTTGCATCTCCAGTGCTGCTCTGTGGGCCTCCCCCCCCCCACC